CTTCTATACTTTTTATCACGTAGCTATTTATGATTAACATTGTTCTTCCGACGTCTGATTTCTTTTTAATTATAGGAAATGCGTTTTTCTAAGGTACATAAACTTTTGGGATTGACTGTGTAGCCAATACATCCTTAAAGAGAGCTCGCGTTTTCTCCTTACATTATCGAGTCGTTTCTATTTCTATGTGCCACGTGCTTAACGTCCGAGGAGCGTGGCCGCATATAAAACAGCGTCGATTGACGTGCGAATGGAAACAGGAACGGAATTGATAACGATTCTGGATTCTTCAAATGATCGCGACGCGTCGATCAGCAGATGTGCGGCGTGTTTGTTTGAAAGTTTTACGCTACCGAATGAGGTCGGATAGCGAGCGGGGTTAATAGTAAGTGAAAAGAAGCGCGACGGTTTTCCCTCGAGCAACAGTCGATTTACGGGTCTACCAAGTATCGAGAGCGATGCTATCGTCCTGAGTGTAATAAATCAGCGGTAATCACAGTTTTGGCCCGGGCAAAGAAATCGCTAGAATAAACCTCGAATCAATCGATTAATCAGTACGACGGTCGTCATTACTCAAGCCGCCGCGGCCGTCTGCTTCCTGGGATTCGAGACGAAACTACTATTTTACACGCGCGGCATCTCCGCGCGAAATCCGTCCTTTATCGTCACACGTGAATCGAACGTCCTTTCTGTTCGCAGGCCAGGCCGAGAGCAAGCCGCGCGTGTTCTCGCCTCGAATGGACTACGACGAGTGGACGCCCCTCGGCCGCGGGGATCCTCTCAAGAACAATCCCACTTTCGATTACGTGCCTCCCGTCCTCGACAGGGTCCAATATTGGTTGGATTCCCACACCACCGAACCGTCCGCGAAACGCAATATCCTTGTACTGGGAGTAACCGCGAAGAAGACCAGCCCCAAGATACCGGAACAGTTTCTGAAGTTCGTCGACGGGCCGAAGTTTACCAGGTCGAGTCATCAGGACAACTATAGGAACGAATTCACCGGAAGCAGCGGTGCCGAACCTCCGAAAGTCGTGCGGACCAACAGCTTCAGGAACGGACCGATCGATTACAGAAATCAGAACAGGATCCAATCGATACCAGCCAGCTACTATCCTAGTTCTTACTACAATCAGAAGACGAAACCGTACACCATGATGCTACCACCGCCGTTGACTCAAAAGGATAAAATAGTGAGTTTTGCCGAGCCTACGCAACAATTTAATACGCAAACGGAGGAAGGACCGGTGCTTCAAGATTCCCAGTTCTTCGCTTCGGTGCCGCCGCCGAAGAATTACAATCAGCACTCGGTGAAGCTTGGAAACAAGTTTGCTCCGAGTAGAAATCCTGTGCAGACGGTGTCGCAGGTGGAAACGATTAAAAGCGTGTACGCTTCGTCGCCTCCGCCCACGCGATCTAAATACGAGAGCATCACGACGCCGTCTGTATCTTTCGAGAAGTCTAATCTGATTTATCAATCGACTCAGACTCTGTCCGGAGGGTGGCCGAACAACGGTGCGCCTTTATCTACGCCCACTACGAATTTAGCTAATCAGTCTACTCGGCAGCCGGTCGATTACCCGCGCGATCAATACGAAATCGATCACCACGTGGCTGCGTCGTCGAATCACGAAGTAATCGTCGAGCAGAACGCGAACATAATCGTCGACGGAGACAGTAACGAGAACGAAGAAGTAGTGGTTGGCCAGAAAGGGATGACTTCTCCTAACACGCCTCCGACGACCACGATGACGACTACGACCACGACGAAGTCTACTGCTAGTGAGGAAAGGGAGAATCAGGGTAAAGGATCGGCTGAGAAGATGCACATCGTCGTTCCTACTAGCCCGGAATCGCAAGAAGGAAGGAAGGAGCCAGTGTCCGTAGTGATGCCGGCGAACTATTCGGAGAAGAAGTCGAATCAAGAGACACAAGTAGAAACGACTACGACCAGTATGTTAGAAAATACGACAACTGCTGAAGAGGAGGCGAGCGACTCGTTCAGCGTCGAGACTCAACCGATTCGAAATTTAGCCACTGGGTCTTCTATTCTCATGCCGAACAGAATGATGCCTCATCAGCATATAATGCATTCGACGATGGCTCCGTTCATTTCTCGACATCCAGACTCGATGATGGGATTCGGTGCTCCTCAGGCGCCGATGTCCTCTATGATGCATCCGCAGGGAAGACCAAACCACGGGAGTATGCACTTCCTCGGCAGCATGCGACCGAACGTCGGCTTCCGAGCACCAGCCTCGATGTCGATGTTCCCTCCGATGACTCACATGCACGCTCCTCCTATGAAGTCCATGATGAGTCACATGGGACCGCCGGTTGTCATGGATCAGTCCCATGGCTCGCAGTTGCTCCCGACTATGTTCAATTCGCCCCCACCTTCGACTTTGATGCAATCGATGGAAGATCATTTCTTCGATCAGCATCGATCGACGTCGATCTTTACCACACCTACCGCTGCTCCCTTGTTACCAACCGTTTCTACTTCCATCGACAATTCGCCTTCGATCGTCGACACGTATACCAAAACTGCAGAAATCGTTGATAATTCTTCAAAAATGACGATGGACAGTGAAAAGAAAGAAGAGAACAAAGATGACCAGAAGAAAATTATGGACAGTTCGTCTTCCGCTTCTCCACAAATTACCACCGTACCCAGTTTGACCACGGATCCGATCTTCTCGCATTACAAGCAACCAGCCAAACCGATACGTGGACCGATGTATCTGATCATCCAAGGCCACTCTAAAGTGAAGACTTACAAGCCTACCGTCAGCAAGCACGGAGTACCATTAGAGAGGAACGAGATTCTGGAAAGCGCCACCGAGAGACAGCTGTCCAAATTCGAGCAGTTCGTCCAGGAGAACACTAAGAACGGTAACCGAGCGAATGCAGTCGCGATCGAGAAAAAGAAGATCGAAGAGAAGGCACGTGCAGAAAAGATCGCGTTGGCTCGTCAAAACGATTTAATGAGCCTCGTCGAGAGTGGCCTGGTCAGCTTCACTGTTTCACCCACGTCGTCGACGGCAGATGATCGCGGGGCAAATTCGGTGACCACGATCGAGATTAACGCCAATTAAATCCATTCCTGATCTCCTCTCTAGTTCTCAAAGATTTCGGCAGGATTCAAATGGAATCCCGACTTAAGAAATTCGATCGTAAAAACGGACTTGGATGTACTTACAGATTTTATCATTGACCCGTTGTGAATTAACATTATTGGGTTTATTCCATATCGGATTCGTACCACAAGTATTTATCCGTAGATTTATCGCGAGGAATCAGAGCCATGATAAAGCCTCTATGTATATAGAGGTCTAATGTAATTCTGCAAATGGTTAGAAATCGTGGTTCACGAGTCGCGTTTAGCTCGCGCGTGAACGATCGAGTTTCCTTAAAATTGTTCGTTTCTCCACGCGTTTTATTTATTACCCTTTATCACGCGATTTCGCAGAGGCTCGCCGTGGTGGATCTCCGATCGATCGATCCTGCCACGGTTCTCGTTTGACGAGGAAGCGCGCCAACTTCTGATGTGCCAGTATACACACAACGTACACATGTATAAATATACGTATATATAAATATAAAGTATATATGCCAGATGTCGCGACGGATTAGAAAGCGATCCCCGATCGAAGTAAAGGTGAGAAAATTGTTTGCTCGATGGTCTGTCCTTCGCTCAAAGGAACATGTAGGTATGTAAGTATGTGTGAAAAGGATCGACGACACGTTAGGACTGTATTTATCGTAGTACCTAATGATCATCGCGATCAACGTATTTATCATGCTGATACATCCATATTATGCGCTGTCCCTCGATTCTACGCAAACGCGATCACGAGACAGCAGATGTTTATGCATTTATAGGAATTTCGAATGATAAAAAAAAATCACAGGAAGATAGAAAGAAATAAGAAATACTAAAAATAAAATTAATACAATTGTTTTGCACTTCGTGTCTTTTAATCGTATTTGTAGAATTTGCATAAACGTTCGCAGTCTAGCGGTCACGAACGAAAGCTGGTAACTTCGTCTGTTCGGTAACGATCAAACGGATGCTTATAAGGTTTAAATTAATCACGATGTCGTCGCACGTGTTTCGCATTGCATTATCAACACTAGTCTTATCGCTAACCAGTTGTCTCGCTTGTCGTACATGCACCAGCATTCGAACCGGTCTGTTTATTCGTTGAAATTCTATGGCACCATAGCAATGTGAAATGGGACAACTCGCACGTACGAAATCTTTTGATACGTCGAATAAAAACGGTGTTCCGTGCGTGGCATCGATCGTAGCAGAGGAACGTGCGCGAGGATCGGAAAGGCATTGAGTGCGTACTTTATTTTAAAAAAAAAAGTGTGTACTATGCTGCGTATGATGAATTGTACCTGACGGTCCACACGTTTTGTTGATTTTACGTTTATCAATAAATTATTGCATTATCGACGTTCGTGAGGTTCAGTCTAATCTAATACTTTGTTCTTATCTCTGAACAAATACTCGTGATTGAAATATCAACTGCGTCCCTGACGATCAGAGTGTTAATTGCGAAGTTGTAAAATGTTTTACAGTTACTCAAGGGGGTACCGATCGGATTTTTGTCGTGCACCGATGAAACGCTCGGATCGAAGAGGAAACCGGCAATCGATCGATTACACGCCCACCGAATAATTTATCGCGGGGGAGTATCCTCGCGCAGGGTCAAAGCTGCCGAAACGGTACTCCGTCTCGATTTATCGGCGCTAATGATCCGTAATTCTCGCCCTCGACTTTAAATTCTCTCCTCAACTCATCCGGACGATAACGTATTCGAACCCCTTCCCTTGTAATTAGCGTTGCAAACCGAGAAAAGCCGCGGTCCCTCATTCATTTTTCAAACCGAGTCGTAAAGCATGATTTGGCGAATAGATTAAACTGAACACTTTCCTATTTTCAATCCCGTATTCAACGATCTTCCTTCAGTTTCTTTAAAAATGAAATTATGATTCTTCGAATTGTTGTGGAATTAAACAGGCGAACGAGCTGAGAAATTTTTGTTCAGGCGATACAGTTCCAAGGGTGAAACAAGGTAGTCTGTGAGAAGAACCGACGGGACTGGGTAAGGAGGGGTCGGTCGAGGTGCACCGAAAGCACAAATTTAAAGTTAATTTATGGCGTAATTTAGTATCAATGTCGGTAGCATAAATCTCTCGCGGAGGACAGGGGTCGGGGCCCGCGCGGATATGTGCGCGTCGAGAAAAAAGTCGACGAAATAAAGTTACCGGCACGTAGAAGCGGGCCGACGGTACCGGTATCTCTCTTCGAAACTTTGTTCCCACCGCTCCGACTTCTTCCGATTTCAGTCGATTTAATTGAATAATTAACACGTAATCTAATAGATTTATACACGTTTAATTACTGAAAGTCTTCATATTTTTTTAACGCAGGTAAAATTTATAATTGGAATTTACATTAGAGAAAATCTAATATATCAAATTATTCTTAATTAGTCTCCGAGAGTTAATACGATTTGCAGCAACGAGATTGAACAGCCGGCGAGTGCGTTGACCACTCGATCATTTCTCTTCGCGCTCGGTTTCCATTTTCCATCTCTACTCCGGAGTTTAAAACTCGTACAACTTCTGTTAAACGCGATAAACATCGATACTCCGGCGAGCCGTGGATTTCACCCGAGATTAAGCGAGCGGGGTACGAAAAAGGGTGTTTCCTGACAAGTTGAAAAATTGCGCGATCAGTGAGAAAAATGTTCTTGCCACAGAGTTACTTGAGGAAAGTGGCACCGGTCCGTAACTTGCAACTTCGCTCCAACCCTTTCCTTTTGAATACACGACTCCGCTCGTCGAAAAGAATAATCAAAAAGTAATGACAATTTGTTTGAACGTCTGCAGAATTGTCGAAGTCGACTGGCGAAAAAATTGGGTCGTTCGATTTGAATACACAATTTAAAAGTACTGATTGCGATAGGAAGATAGTCTTCTGTTTCACGAAGAGGCTGCGTGGTCGTAGACCCGAGATGAAGATGCGGAACGTGAGAAAAATATCCCGTCAACCTCAATGAAAGTCAAACGGCCGCGGGGATGGGTTCGCGTCATTATCTTACCGTTAGCGATGTGGACGCGTGGGTAACGATACCATGGAAAAATTCGTCCCATCTTCCTCGAGACACAGCCTTTTTCGATCGTAGATCTCAGATGCAGACGCTACTCCAAAATCCTATTTCATTAATCACCCTCTTACGAATTTTCTCATTGTTCAGAATATTCTGTTAGAATTTTTATCACATACCCTCTTTGTTCTAATCGTTACTATGTTATATTAATTTAATATGAATAGATATATCATTTATAATTTAATATGAATAGATATATCAATCCTGTTTATAGCTAAAAAATTAGTTGAATCAGTTTAATAATTTAAGGCTGTGATTAATAGACTGCAGATTTTGCATACAAATTTAACATAAGTTTACGAAATTCCATAATGCATATTAATATTTTTCAACGACACTCTGCAACTTTCATTTCATACTAAAGTCCATTCAATATCAACAGAAAAATTCATATAAAGATGTTTAAAGCATTTCAGTAAATTCGTAATAGATCTGACGTATTAAATTGAATGTTGTTTAAAAATCCGCAGCCTGAATGTTCTGGCAGCAGACTCCGTCGCTGGATCACGTCTCGCGTGCTGGCGCTTTCACGAGGGGGTTGAGCCTGTGGCCGGCGCGGCGTCGCACGCGTCTGTTCTTCGCGAGAAACGATCGGGCAAAGATAAATCGAGAGAACGTTATATTTATTTCTAGGGGAACCGCGGAAAAAGTTGTCCGGCCATTTGCGGACGCGACGCTCACATCCTGTTGTAGTTCGCTCTATCCTACACACCCTTCGCTCGGTTTTTGCCCGTATTTCCTCCGCCGACAGTGGCGTTTAGGGATAACGCGTGACGCGGACTCGTCGATCTCTCGATGTTCTATCAATCGCGTGACACGCACGTAATCGGAAGCATCGTTAGATTCAATACAGGGTGAGTCAGTGTGAATCGTCATCGAAAATAACGTGACGTTTATTGATTTTGCTAAACAGTTTCGAGATACAACGGAGGATGCTTTAATTAATCTATTGAATTAAATAATATAATTGGAAACATTGTGAAATTAGGATTGTTAAATAAGGATTCACCCCATATTTTATGCAACACACGTAAACGCAAACGATCGAAAACACTGAATATAATTTAAACGATTTTATTTCTGATACAAGTTTCGTGGGTACAGTAAATACGTAATCTGTGTAAACCGACCCGTAGAAAACGACTTGTTTTCTTTCATCCTACGTCCTCGTCCTCGTCCTCGTCCTCTTCGCTGCATCGGCCCGTAGATAATCTGGAACGTATGGCGTTCCGCGTCTACGGGAAGCGCAGGCCTCATTGCACCACTGTGGAAACTAGAAACCAGTCGCAAAAACTGACCCAATATCAGTGTCCCCGGATCTCTCTCCCGGCGACCCTCTTTAAAGATCACGGCCCGACTCCAGCGTACCCAGAACCCACGCATCTCGCACAGCTTCCTGAGTTTTTGTCAGAGATCGAACAAGGCTAAGGGTCGTTGAGCTCGAAATTAATCACTCTCAAGTTTTAAGCAAGATAATTGCTGGCAGGGGAAATTTATGGTCGTCAGATAAGTGGCTATATTATATTCTATCGACGAGCTCTTTAAACGAGGAGAGAGTATCGTTAGAATCGACAATAAAATCCTCCCACGGATCAGCGATCAACGTGCATGCTTTTAATTACCAGTCGAAGCTGTTGAAAGAGAGCGAACGCTCAGTATCAGTTTCATCGTCTGAATCATTGTTTCCCAACTTGAAAATTTCACTTCGTACTTTCCTGATTTTTATACCCGTCTCTGTTTCTAACACGATCTCAGCTCGGGCTTGATTGAAATCTCTTCTACGACGTCGCGGGACGGTGAAAGAAACGGAATGGTACGTGAGTTCCAGAAACACACTGACGACTTGTCGTTTCCTCGTATCGATGAATCGTGGCTGCCTTTGCGACTCGTCGAGCACTTCCTGCCGCGCGATTCTTCCTCTCTCTTCTGTCTGTCCACCTAGTTTTCGGTATCAACCCTTTGCCGAGGTGAAATACGAATAATAACTGCTAGATCGGGAATAATCGATCGCGTGAGTCACTTCCTGCGTTTCCCCGTAGGGCGATGGAACTCGGGCCGTGAAATCCGACGCGTGGAATGCTTGAGCCGCGAAACGACTCGCCAATCGAGAATACGTGACGGCACGCGACGCGACGACCTCTTTCCGATTCTTCTTTATACATTTTCTTGAACAGCGTCAGAGCGGGAAAGCGTGCTCGTTAATCGTAGCTTCCGGTTTAAACGTATCGCAGGTTTGTCTACGTTTAAAAGCGACGGAGAACTATCAAGAATAAACGATTGTTCCTCGCATCGGTGAAAGTAGAATGTTAATTAGGGGCAAAGGACGAGTTAGATGCAAATACCGACACCTTCGGTATACCGGATGTAAAAAGAAAGTTTAGTCGCACCGGCGCGTCTTTGATTCCGGGTGTGACGACCCCGTCGTTTGCATACGCTAAACCGAGAATAATTACTTGTCACAGCTAAATTATATTGCCTTACGTAGAATCCTAAGAGGTTTCAGTAAAGCGAATCGCAAGTTCTACGGATCGGATTAAGACTAAGTGCAATCTCCCAGGGGAGACAGACGCGAAGGGTATTCGGGATTCTCGGTGTTCAACTTGAATCTCGCACGTAAAGTACCCATCGAGTTTCCCTTTAACGATTCAGACTTTGCCGTCCAATAGGAATTCGTGCTTCCATCTCGCGGTAGAACAGCAACGGATGATTTATATTACGAAACGCCGCGTAGTTTAGAACATAATCGTAGAATAAATCGTTCGTTCTTATCGCGACATCGCATATCGTTCCGTTGTGTAAGCAACACAGTGTTTCGTAAACTTACCGTTTATTACCATAATCATATGTATTACATGCGCAAACGATGCTCGTAAAGTTACATATCAAAATGATTAATCAATTGCGGATACACATTACGAAACGTAACTATACAAATATATTTATATATCACAGTCGTAGACAAAGAAATGAAATGTATGTTTAATCGAAGTGATTTTTCATTTAGACGTTACACACTCAATTAAGTGGCCGCGGATCACCGAGAAGCGTTTGGTGAGCCTGGTCTCTCTAACCGATTCGCTATGTAAACGGATTCGTGCTAATTTATCGTCGAGACGTTTGATTATCCTCTTTATCAGATACGCTCTCAACGATGATAACGACACGTGACGTGCCTTTGGAAGAACAAACACAGCTTGACCGCCCTTCGATTGCCATACTTTGATAAGCTCCCTGTTTTACGTACAGCGTTAAGGGAGTTAAAAGTCGTTTCGAGAGTTTCAATGCTAACGATCAACGTCGAATAACGAGGAAACGTTCTAATACTATCCAACTACGTTAAAATCGTTCGCCTAAATATAGGATGGTAGAGCCAGTCTTATCGCAGTCGTTATTCGGACAGTATTCGCTCGTATAACGTTAAACGCTTGAGAACGATGATATGGAAAATTAGTGTACTTAGTCGACTCTGTTAGCCGGTCGCTCGGAATGCAGAAAATATTTCTCGATGCTCGATTCTACTGTGACGAAGTTCTATCTGAGGGGGATCGGGGTTTAACGATTGAAGTCGTCGAAACGGCGACACAACTACGGCGAATTATATCACGATTAAATTACGGTAACGATCGGAACGAGCGATTCTAAATACGCTTAAAGAACATTCTTACGATTTGTATTATCTTGAATTCACGCGAAACATTTAAGACGGCCCGAGACGAGGCCATTAAGTTTAACGAGATACTCTTAGCTCTGATATACACGATCGTGGTTCAGGAAATATGTAACGTGCTAGTCGTTTTGATTTTACCCTCCTCCATCTGTTTCTTCTTCGAACCTGTTCAACCGTCGATCTTTCCAAAGAAATTGTGGGAGAGACGAAGGATTTGGCAACCTGCTCTAATCTTTGACAGCTCGAAGCACACGCGTGTCTCGCCTCCGAATTTCCCTAGAATTAGGTGTGAGAGAAGCTTGGGAACGAGTTACGAATCCGCACGCTCGTCCGGCTTCTCCTTGTCTCAGAAGTTCGCCGCCAGCGAATTTTCTAACTCGTTCAAAGGCGGCACCAACGTTTGCAGAGAGTAGTACCGCGAACGATCGGCCGCGTCGACGCTGGTTACGTGTTGAAATTGACAGGGCTGGCTGATGTTGGTCTTGGCTGGTAGAACCACTTTCTTCGGCACTGGTTTCTTCTTCTTCTTACCAGGCACTGAGAGGCTGATGTTCTCCGGGCAAGAGACCAGCCGCTCTATGTGCTGCCAGAGATCGTTCGCCGCTTTCGGATTGTCGAAACTCAGTCCGGCTAAGCGAGTGTGGTCCGATGAGAGACACATCGTGTGAAAAGCCGGACCTGATACCTGTCGAATCAATCATCGAATTAGATTCAATTCAACATTGAGAGCACGGTGAATGCAGAATGAACGAATAAGAATTATTATGTATCATAAAATAACACGGTATTTACTGGTTTCATTGAAAAGCTTTATAAAAATGTGAGAATATACTCAAATATGAAATTCATATAAAATAATCAGATAACTTATTGACTCATATATACTTTCTATTCCGTTGTACAACTTAAGGATGTATTGGCTATACAGTCAATCCCAAAAGTTTATGCACTTTAGAAACGCATTTTTTATNCTTCTATACTTTTAAGCACGTAGCTATTTATTATTAGCATTATTCTTCCGACGTCTGATTTCTTTTTAATTATAGGAAATGCGTTTTTCTAAGGTACATAAACTTTTGGGATTGACTGTATAGCCAATCCATCCTTAATTAATTAAATAAATGTGAGATCGCTCACCTTGTACGATGACAAATTGTCGATGGTCTCTCGCCAAAGGGTGAAACAGGTACCGCGCTCAGCCAACAATATTTGAATCCGTCTCTTGGATCTCGAGCGCGTTTCACCCAGATCAAGAACCACCACCGGGATACCCGTGAATCGAAGCTGCCACCCGTCGGTTTGCGTCGCGCTTCCCAGATACAAGTTGGCCAGCGACTCGCAAACGAACACCTGTTGTTCGCGTGACAAAGGGAGTGTGAAAACAGACGGGGAGGACGGATCGATCGTCCGATCGGAAAGGGGAAGTTCGGTTTTTACCTGAGACTTCAATCCCCGGAAGAACGTTTCGAGCTGCTCCCGTTCCATTTGGCTCACCGGCTCCAGGCGGGATTCATCGCTGTTCTCTGAACTGTCACTGCCCTCGTAGCTCGACGTCGCTGAGGTGTCAGCCTCTCCGGTGGACGACAATCGCCTCCTGGCTGCTCCGCTGTACTCGCTGTAGTAAGAGGAACTGTGGAGCGACAGGTTCGATTGCAACGCCGGACAGGAGGACGCGTACACCGGCGGGGCGTTCATTTTCTGTAAAGGAAACGGACCTGTTAAATCCATTGATCAACGCGTCGCAACAGGAAAATTCACCGGTCAGTGAAACATCGATGCAGCGCGTTTGACCCAGAATTTTTCCTTCGCTCCTTTCGTTTTCCTTTTCCGCGCTCGCGCACACGCCCGGGTCGAGCAGTAAGGAAACAAAAAAGATATGGGTCGAACACGGTGACGCAAGGGACAGCGACCGACGCTGCCGGCTAAAGCTAATCAGGCAATAGCGTTTTAGCAACGACCCACTTAATCAAGGCGAGAAAAGTCCCACTCCTGTTCGACCTTAATTCGATCACGCCGCGGCGACGCCTTTAACGAGTTAGCCGGCTGACTAATCGCGGTTCATACGAGCTGTCTCACGATCGTCCGCCTAGTTCGATTAATACTGTCAAGAATTCCACGAGTTTCAATCATATCAATGAACTCACTAGAAATCTCATTCATCAATGAAGCACCACTCCCTGGCTAAGATTTCCTTATAATTATTCTAAAATTCGTGAAACATCATTGTTATGTCCTTAGGCAGCAGGACACACTATTAATTTATTCTTAGGTTAGAGAAGAGGAATGTTAATTATTTTAATATGAGAACAATCTCCTTGTTACTGTACGGCTCGAGGGCCAGTCGGCTTCTGCCCTCACTCGCAGCTCTCGAATCCCCCGATTCCCGAACTCTCGCACACGTCACATGATCGCAACTTATTATACATATGTATACCACGCTACATGTATACGCTTATACCTAGCTTACTCTAACAATCATTTTTCCTATGATCATACAAAATACACCCGCATTATTCGATTGACACCAGTGAGGATTTCATGGATTTTAGATATTACATGAAAGTCTCAGCAGTTGCGTCAAAATTTAAACGATACCATAAATTCTCCCACGGTTGTACGAAATAAACCCGCATCATTTGTAAAACGTGACGATTGAACATCGTGTAACGATATACCTCTCTCTCGCAGGATCGAGAGATGGTGGTTCGTGCGCACGAAACGCACACCGGAAGCGTATTGTCTGCGGCGCACAAGCCAACGTCATATGTGTAACGCGGCTCGCGAGGATGCGCCATTGTTTCCTGGGTCCCGATAAGAAACTCGATACGATTTGTTCGCAGATGAAACGCTGATAATTGCGGACCGTTCCTTTTCGCGTTCTCACGCGAGTTACAATCACGCGTGGGTACGATGTTCACTCTACAAAGTTCAAATCGCTCGCCCCCAGTATTTCGTGTCGACCGATTTGTTCCTCTTCCTATAGTAACACGTTTCTCTCTTCATCGATACGAGACGAAATTAGATAAATTGTTTTTTTAATTAATATATCTAACGTCGTTTGTAAAAATAGTTTCTGTACGGAATTCCAATATCAGCGACGTATTTCACCGAACCTGAATATTTATGGACTCAATATATTACGCAGGAATTACGCAAACTGTTTGTTCTTTGCGATACAGTTTATATCCCTTTTTTAAAGGCAACCACATTGCGACACGCCACTGCCGGTAGTATTTCACGAATCGGTGGCGGCGGCGGCGGCTCCTTTTTGCTACGAACCGCAAACGGCTGAATTTGTCTTACCGATGCGTTTACGGATTCTATTATACTTTCTGTGGAATTGACGGCATTCTCGCGATGACATCATTCCCATTGCTACTTTCCAGTTGTCACACTTAACGTCGGGTCTCTCTCACGGAACGCTTTCCTCTCGTTTATATACTGTCTATCGTCTGCTAGCGGCCCTCCACGGGTCTAACAGTTAGATCCTGAATCGAATGCATTGCCTGTGATTCATCGGTACTTAGAATCTATCTTCCGCGGGGATTGTAGCAGAGGTAAGACTTCATAAATATCCGTAGCCTTACTGATGTTCTCGTCTTTGTTAGTATCAAAAGAGATTGCGATATCCGAAGTTACCTTTCGATTTATTCACTCGCGAGAGATAGGGGAGATAGGAGATGACTCGAGGCTAAACACCCACAATCGCTATCGAGCGAGAGGCCATCATGGTGGATGACGGGAGAGACGTTTCGTTAGGAGCTCCGTAATTATTAAGTACGGGACTGTAACGAGGTATGCCGTCATTCCCGTAAACGACGCCGAGAAATCGAGCATCTTGCTTGCTCGTCGAGGCCCGCTGCCCCCATACGAATTAAAATGACGTTACAGATAAACGAATCATAAAACTAGCTACTACAGTTTTCATGCAAGACGCCTGTGGTACCATTTAAAAGATTCCATTTAAGCACGTTTCGAAATGCTCAAAATCAGTGATCTACTCATTGTCGTACAAAAATTGTTCTTTAGTTCTTCTCTTTTTCGTGATGGCAGATTCAATGTTTAACCCATTCGCTGCCAAGTTATTTCTTGGTAAGAGCACATATATTATCATACATAATCATTTAGAAGCAGAAAACCAAAGACGAGTATACTCGTCCTTGGCAGCGAATGGGTTAATATAAAATCTTCAGGATTTCTGGAATCAATATCGATTTATATTAGGAGATTTAGGTTTGTTCTAAATAAATAATTGAGATTCGACAACAGCTTTTATGTAGCAGAATTGAAAGACTTGAAATGAAAAAGGTGTACTAAAATGTAGATTTATTTCGTTTGAATTCGATACGATTCTAGTGTCCAAAAGCGGAGTCTGATAAATGGGAAGTGCTCGTTACGAATGGACGCGTCCAACGGCGCGCAGTGGTCGCCGCTCGTTACGCAAAAACGGAGTACCGTCGTTTTGACGTGGCAGCCACGCACACCGATGCGCTCATCTGTTCGCAAGGTATCTCGATTTGAAAACTGTTCGTCACACCATCGGCCGCGGAATAATTTATCGGCGCTCCCTGGTAAGAGTCAGCAATTTCTGCGACCGGTACGTGTCTCGTATGATCGGCTACCGAGACGGTGTCACGTACTTATTCCGGCGCTCGTAGTAACGCATAAGATTATGCGGAAGGGCACTCGGTAGCCGTCTAAGAGCAGTCTACGTGCGTGTCCCGCCGCGTGCATGCACACGCCGCCGACACAAGCGATGAAACCTGCCTCTGCCGCGACGCCAATTGAGACTAACCCACCGTAATCTCCTCCCGCTTTGCGAAATAAAAATTACAACCGATTAACCAATTGACTAATGTCATCTTCGTTATATCTGCGTATCCAAGTTTTGATTCAACAGCGATTAAAATCAAACGCGATTATCACAAGATGTTCGCGTGACTCAATTGTTTTCGTTCGTTAATCATTTCCGCGAACTTTTTACCATTTGGAGAGGAAGACACGTGCAAATTGACAGAGACAATGGGACGGAGATAAATAACGCTCGCGGTGATATCGCAGATTCGCGGGAAGCGCACTTGTACGCATAGAGTGATAAGAGTTAGTTACTATCTCGTAGAATGCGTGCGATATCAATTTAGAGCTGATGATTTGTTTCCGCTTACGTATTATCTTTCATTAGTCATCTCGTTGAATGTCAATGAATGTTCAGCTTCGAAATCTGAAGATACGACCGTGAAGATTGTCCGTAGCCTCGATAATTATTTTCCAGATAAGACAATCATATTAAATAATTTTTAAATATTACAAAAATCTCAAGAATAAAACTGTTAATCATCTCCCATTGAGTTTTCATTGAGTTTTCAAGTACAAGATTTACCCGAGCTAATTCCCGATGCGATTCGTCAGGAGCAGGCAGGCAGGCAGGCAGGCAGGCCTCTCGTCAATTCTCGTCACGCATTTGCATGTTACTCACGCGGTTAGTCATCCTTATTGATAAACGGCGAGGAGCCGATATAAGGCGGTGCGAAATTAGCGAGAACCCTCGGTCATTATCTGTCGTCCGTTAATTGCGTAATGTACGTTCTTAATTATGAACGATTCGTCCCGCGGGGGCTTTAAGGAAAACGTCCAGACGCGAGCAAATTGTATAGGTAAACCGACGTCGTTAAAGTAACCATTACGTAAGGTATCAAAATATATGCACTCGCAATAAGTCGGAAAATTCCCAGACGTATTGCGACGTGCAAGAGTTTTGCAAAAGAGCCAACTGTGCTATGCGGACAACAAGCTCGTTGTTCTTCAGTGTTCACCTCTGCTACTCCTTTAGAATATAGGTATCAATTATTATTCGAACCGAGCGTTACTCATTGATCCACATGCCTCGTTTCAACGACGTATCGTTTAGAATAAATAAAAAGTGTGCTCGTAACTGTTACGAGAATCGGGCAAGAATTATTTATTATTATTATTATTATTATTATTTTTATTAAAGTAGAATAATTTCGTTTGGACGCGACGGAGGCCGATGGAAAATTGAAGTTTTCGTAGAGGAACGGCGACAGTTCCGGCGCGAAGGATGGATCGATGAAACAGGACGCTAGAACAGGTTATCCTGGAAGAGGGGAGGCACTCCGGGATGGGAGCTTCGATTCTGAAGCTGCCCTCGCGATGACGTCATCCTCAGCTATATCCCGACGCGAGGTTATCGCACAGAGTTGGCCTCGCGAGAGACGCCGGGGCTCCGAAACGAATCTACTCCCGTCGACGGCCGTAAGGATAATCCGATCTACTACGTCGCGCGATTCGCGAAATTCTCATCGTGCTGTCAGGCCAACAACGGGACCGGTTCTCGGTCCGTCGCGCCGTGAGAAACCGAGACCCATTGTCTCACGCTGGAATTACCTCGCGCGCGTTCAATTCGTCGCGCGGATTTCGACTAATCAGAAAACTCGCGAGGAGGAAGTCAGCGGGGACCGGGGCTGGGACGTGTCTGCCCATCGGCGGTCCGGTCACGTTCATGGAACGTGCGTTATCGTCCTCGAAAAATAATAACGAACCGCTCCACGGTCGAAGTCGTGAGTTTTACCTTGTGCACGAGTATGATTCCTCGAACCACGACGCGGACGTTCTTATCAAATACTTACACCGAGTTTACACGCGTAGTAAAAATGCCTCGAACATAAATACGTCTCGTA